GCAGAGATCATAGACAAAAGTGACCCTTGCATCAAAATGTAAGGTTCACTTTTCTGATTTTCCCCTACATACACACACTTTCTCCAGCAGTGCAGAAGACCACTGATTGCTTAGTACTCAGCCTTCAGTGAGCAGGGAGCTGGTGACTGCCAGTCTCCAGCTCTCTGCTTTGCCCCCCCAGCGTTCACTGGAGCACTGGGCTGAGGAGGGGCTGGAGAGGCTGGCTCAGGCTTTCAGAGGCTCACTCAAAGACTGAGCTAGCTGTTGGTCCAGGCATTTGGGTGGATCCCTACTTTAAAGTCGGGATCTTTCCAGAGCCTGGACCGGCTGAGTGACATCAGCCAACAGCGGGCTTTAGCTTTGCTGCACAAGGGTGCAGAATGAAAGTGGTTCTAAAAGGCTCAAGTTTTTCTTACCTGCATGCATTCTATGGTAAAAAGAAAATCCTTCTGTGTGTAGCAGATATAGTGAATGCAGGGTCCTGGGTTCAGAAACACTAACTAAAAGGCAATAAGATCACAGCTTGCAAGAAACCCCAGCAGTAGAAGTAAACAGGTTTGCCATCCACACCGGACAACACATTAACAGCACGCTGCTGCCGATGGCCTGGAAAGCGTTGCTGAGAAATGCAGATGTATCTTAGCCCTTTATCAGCAGAGAGCTGACAAGAAGTTTCTTATCTCAATCCCAGCGCTATATTAAAGGGTATTAATAAGCACTTCTTCTCCTTAAGTGAAAAATAAGTTGACTGTGGGTCAATATGCAGCAGAACACTCCGATTTGCTCTTCAGCATTTCTCCAAAATGAAGGCAAACAAAAGAATGACCATTCACATTCAAAATAGAGATGGAGGTGAATTTTAATATTTTACAGACTTTATTTCAGAATATAGTAATGCTGGCAGAGTCCACTTATTAGTTGTTTCCCCTTCTTTCTCTTTAAAAGGCTGCTTTATACCCTTGGGGGGTAAAAAGAGAATACATTTAACACCCCCCCCCCCCCCCCCCCCCAAAAAAAAAAATTGTTGATTGGCTCAGAGAAGTCACATGATTACAGCAAAAGTAAGTATAGCAGCACGAACACTGAATACTAGCACAGATGTTTCTTAATGTACCGAAAGTGGCCCTTTCATCAAATTGCAAGGTTAACTTTTCAGACACAGACACACCACCAGCAGTGCAGAAGACGTGAGCAACATCATCCAGCTTCTGGTCAGATCTGAGTAGCACAGTGCAAGGCTACTCAACCTTCCCTGACTTTCCAGGATCTTGTTGGCAGGAGGAGATCATCATAACCTGCACTATGAAGTCAGGGAAAGGATAGTATATTTATTCATTTGAACTACCACACATACTTTTAGGGAGGGTGCCACCTTGAATAAGCAGCAGACCTTACTACTGATGTGGAAGGTCCACTTTAGAAAAAAAAGTAAGTACACTCGAACAATGAACATGTCCTATTTGCTCACTTTTGGTCCATTGAAGATACTATTGAAAGTGTTTTGTTAGATCTTTCCTAATTGCATAAAAAATACCTTGATTCTACCAGAAATCCAGTGAGTCTGTAACTTCCTGTATACTTTGCAGTGTTCTCATCCCTACCCAGTTTACTTCTAACCTACAGAATACTTCCACCCTGGTTATCTAACCCTTCACCACTTTCCCCGCAACTAGAAAAAGGCTTTAGATAGGTAAGTTTTAAATGCTGCTTGCACAAGTACCTGAATTTGATCCGGTGTCAACCTACTGTAATCTGCTACAAAGCACATGTCAGACCAAGATGGGGGGAAGGGGGAAATGGCTTGGGAGCCAATTAATTGTGCTGCATGCAAATAGGATGGCAAGGAGAAAGCGAATAGAGAGACCCTCAGTGTTCTCCTGCCCCTTCACTCTCCAAGAGATCTACCTGGCTGTGCTGTCTGACAGAACTGAAAATATCAAGACTAGATAGAATTACAAAAAAACCTAAAAAAACTCTCATACGTGCATTTCAGTTGTGCACTTACCTGTTTGCCTAGCACAGGTGTATGTATGTATGCATGCATGTATATAAAAATCCGCTTAATGCTGTGATGCATTACTTTAAAAAGTATTAAAGCCTAACTCAGTTTGTTTTTCTAATTTTAAAAACAGAATGGGGAAGACATAAAGTGTTACTAAACCCCGGTCCCTGCATTCACTATATCTGGTCTCCCAGGACCCTGCATTCACTATATCTGGTCTCCCACAGTACACACAACATGGAAATGCAGTTATTTTAGTAAATATAAACTGCTAAATACCTTTTCTCATTAGTAGTTAGAGCAGTCTTGTGACTTCTTTCAGTGTTCAGTAGAGCACTGGGTAAAGCTTGTAGGAGGAGTTTTCTTTCTGCTCTAGGAGGATGCAGAACCCCTGACCTCTGTCTGGACAGAGCAGATTGGCCCTGTACTGATCATACACACTCTCCCAAGAAGAGAAGAGAAAACCTCTCTAGCAATACACAGTAAACTGAGCATGTGCAGAGTGGCTACAGTTCAGTCTGTCTTATCAGGAGATAAGAAGTGGACATTGAACAAAAAGAAGGAGCAGAGCAGTCAGGATCAAACGACCTTTTTTAGTGGGGATTAACCCCTTAGGTTCTACAGTGAGTATAGCAAGCATGCTTTACCGCATATACAACAAAAAAATTTATAAAATAGTGAAGCGTTGATGTTAAAAAAAGGACATGCATAACACAACGCTATTCAGTGATAGATAGGAACATATTAGAACAATATTGATAACATACATAAATAACAAAAACCTCAGAGAAGGAAAATGACAAATATAGTGCAAGCGCTCATAAGAGAGTTCATGCTGTGTGAAAGTCCATACTATATCAATTCCAAGTACAGTGATCACTAGATAAAACACAGCAAGCCACGTGGGGTTATCCCAATGCCATATGGTGTGTGGATTGATCCATAAACGGCCAAATTGGCTCCTCACCTCCTTATTTAGACCCCACAGGGCCAAAATACTGTGTGGGTGCCCCACGTGTAATCCAGATGACTCTCCTCAGGGTAGGGACACTTAAGAACCTGACCTCAACACTTCTGAACCTTCTCCAGGGACCATGGATTGTGATGCAACGTCTCGGTACGCATTGACAGCACTTCCGGGACGCGGTGACGTAGTTTCCGGCGTTGACGCCATTTTGGAGCTATCGTGGAGCTGCTGATCAGCATCTAACCATGAGTATACCCATGATATGGGAAACGGCATTTTTGTGTGTTTTATAATGTGAGTGGGCAATTGGCTTTGGTATCATTTTTTGTGTTAATAAAGGCAGGTTTACACTATGGAACATTCTTTTGTTTTTATCAATATCCTGCAATGGTCACCCATATCTGAGAATCCTTGAGTCTGGAGAAGGTTCAGAAGTGTTGAGGTTGGGTTCTTAAGTGTCCCTACCCTGAGAAGAGTCATCTGGATTACACGTGGGGCACCCACACAGTATTTTGGCCCTGTGGGGTCTAAATAGGGAGGTGAGGAGCCAATTTGGCCGTTTATGGATCAATCCACACACCATATGGCATTGGGATCACCCCACGTGGCTTGCTGTGTTTTATGTAGTAATCACTGTACTTGGAATTGATATAGTATGGACTTTCACACAGCATGAACTCTCTTATGAGCACTTGCACTGTATTTGTCATTTTCCTTCTCTGAGGTTTTTGTTATTTATGTATGTTATCAATATTGTTCTAATATGTTCCTATCTATCACTGAATAGTGTTGTGTTATGCATGTCCTTTTATTAACATCAGCGCTTCACTATTTTATATATTTTTTTTTTGTTTCATCTACGTTGTGGTTAAGGCAAGTGTGAGCTACTACTAGTAGGACATCCACTATAGCGCAGGAGGTTTCCTTTTATTGTTTTTTACTACATATACAGATTGATTTTCCTCTTGTGGGTTTAGTAACACTTTAAGCTGGTCATAGATGGATCAAAATCCAGCCAGTTCAGCAGGGATCTTCAGTGTGGCAGCTCCAATTTAACAATCGACTTCTGCAAACAGTTTTATTGGAAAACGTTTCGCCATCAGTGGTTGCAGCCGCTGATCAGTGGATTCTGACAGTGGAGAGTTCCTGAGGATTGGTGTCCACCTCGTTTGCATGGATGGGGGAATCTGTTCAACCCCCTCCCCCATTTAGTTCATTGACTTATCCAAAAAAAAACAACCCACAAACAATCTCTGGCCAGCCTTAGAACCTTTATCAGTTTTTTTTTTATGCCTGGGGATCCACTGGGGAGATTTCTCTAAATTGTATAGATCAGTGGCATCCCCATATCATCTGAAAATGAAATAATAAAAAAAAAAAAAAAACAGAGGTCACTGGGACAATAAAAGTCACACACAAAAGCTGGATTGAGGTTCTAACCCATTTCCACTGCTCCAATAAAGAAAAAATTGCTCCATTTCTTCAGTGAACAGATTTCTTATCAGTTGCTGTTGCTCTGATACCACTGGGTCAGGAAGTAAAAGAAAATCTTCTCAAATGGAGTCACAGACAGCAGTAAAAATCAGACACTGTTTCTATTCCTTCCCAACTCTAATAAAAAAGCTGGAGTTGGGCTTTAAATATATTTTCTACATACAGCCACCAAAATCTATTATATTATTAGCTGCCCACCATTCCTTGCACATCAGTAGAGATGGAGGGGGCAGCACTAGGAAACAAGCTTTACTATTCAGCATCAAATGAGACCGCCTTTACTGGCCACTGGGGAAGTCTCGCTACACATGGGCTGGCAGTTGGAAGGAATTAGAGATGAGGTCAAGGTAAATCAGGTCTCAGCAACTATATCAGAGAGGGACACAAAAGAGGCTTTTCTGGCTAATAAAAGTAATGATGGGCATCTTGTGGAGGCAGAGCTTTTGACATTTTTAAAAGCATTAGAGTTCCCCTTTAAAAATGTTAGTAAAACTGGAAAAGTCATCTGATGGATCCAAAAGAATGCACAATACTTACATATGTGTGCTTCTTGATGAGGTCAGATGGGCCGCTGGTACAGACTTTATCACCTTCCAATCCAATTACCCTCTTGCAGATGTTAATGCTCGGTTTGTTGGGACTTTTAGCTACTATAATATCGCCCCTACAAAAACACCACAAGATGAGAATGCTGCATAAGCAAAAATGCAATATGGATTTACTCCAAAAAGGGAAAAAAAAAAAATGTGTTAAAAAGGCAAACTTCATAAAATCTAATGCAAGCTTATGATCTATATGGGATGGAAACTGTTTAAATACGAAATCTGCACCTGGCATCATGATTAAATGCCAAAGCTGGAGCAAGCCTTGCAATGCTCCACTGAAGCAGTAAGCAAAAGGAGACTGAGCCAGCGGTAGCTATGTCAGCTCAGTGGGGACTGAACTCCCCCAGACTTGTAGCAGGGGACGGAGTGCCAGCTGCCTGTGACAGACGAAGATTATAGGAGGGGGGATGAAAAAGAATCAGTTTAGAGATGCGGGGCAGAAATGGTGCAAGGGACTCAAACAGTGCTGTATTTAAGAACACTACCAAATCTTATACTAAAATGAGTCACAAAATGTATATTATGCAAAAAGAAATACAAAACAACATTCATTTCTATGCATTGGAAAAAAAGCCCCACAGATGTGACTTAAGAAATGTTTAGCCTTACACTAGCTGCAACATGAAGAGGGCAACATATACAGCCATTTTAAACATCTTCTGATACTCTCCTAGTATAATTCCCTTCCCCCCCCAAGAATATTCTTTAAAACGCTCTCACATAATTCATCTAATAATAATTATGTTTATTGATTCTTCTAAGCAGACCTGTCAAGCAAAATAGACCTTCAACATTACTATAAAAGGCTGCATTGCCACGTGTATTACAAGTTTCCAAAGATTTAACTGTGAAGTCCACCTTTCTGATCAGGTTACATCCATATTTAGGGTGTAACATGTTCAGTGTCCTCCCCCTCGTGACAGTGGGTGGGGGATCCTCTACACGCATGTGCTGTCACAATTTGACAACAGCTCGGCCATACAGGTCTCCACCCAAACATCTGTCTCATTCATTCACAGTTTCCTGTGAATGAATAGAATACAAGTAGCATCAGCCATTGCAGCTGAAGGCTTGCAGCTCTCAATGAACTACAAAGGCGCTGATGAGCTCTCTCATAGTTCATTGATTCTTCTGCTCTTAAGTAACTGCCTGCCCATAGTAACGCTGAACAATAATTCTACAGTAATTAATATCTTTCTGGCTGCTATTACTGGCTGTTAGTTACTTCCCTCCATGAAGCCAGATTTGCAGGAATTCCTATTGTGAAGCTGAAGCGAAGTTCTGTTACCACCTCTGATGTGAATGCACATGTGAGAAAGTCCTGTGTGTTCACCATGACTCTAGAGTAGAGTACAATGCTGTGTGCTGCAGCTTCCATCCACTCTGTCCACTCCAGCAGCAACAAAATGCAGGGACCCTACTCCAGTACCAAGCAGCAACAGGCCACAGGTGTTCTGCCTTTTCGAGATCTGGCCAAACTCTTCAGGTTCCACCTGTGGCTGGGCTCCCTCCACTCCCCAGGTTCTGGCTCTCTGCGGTGTGCTGTGAATTTTTGTTTTAAGGAGGAAGGCATTCTCTGTCCATTGGCTGACATGCCCCAGCAATCTGATTTTATTGTGATAGAGCTAGTCCAGGACAAGCAATGTCTTAATCTCCTGCTGAGTAACGTGGTGCTGAGAATAGCATGTGGAACCAGGACATTCATCATTTGCTGGTATAGGAGGATTTAGGTAGCTTCTTGGTAAACCAGCATATTTGTGTATTTGATAAACTTACCAGATACAGAAGGTGCCTGCATGTTACCCATCCGAAGTCTACAAGAAGCTCAAACACCTAGGACATTCAAATATTCAAGCTTAAAGCCCTTGTTTGGGAAAGTAAAGTCTTCTCCTTTCCCCCATTGCTTGCAGTGGGATCATGCCTGCACTGTAAGGGTTAAAATGCTTGTTTCTTTCTAGGGTCAAGAAAAGCACTTTTACTTACCCAATACTCGGCTTACCCATGTTAACGCAGTGACTGTTCCTCAGCATCCTGATTTCCAATGTAGGGCTAGGGTCCCTGCATTGTTACTGATGTCAGATGACCTTGGACCGCAAGGGTGCAGGGTGGAAGAGGCTGCCATAACTGTTCTAGTAGAGCACAGGAGCCTGCTAGAGCAAAGCATCAAGTAAGACTGCATACACAAGTCTCCTAGACATAAACAAGAATGGAATCCTTACAGTGCAAGCACATACTCACTGCAAGGGAGCATTTTTACTTTTCCTGGAGTTTGGCTTTAAGCAAATCTAAGGGTGGGTCTCTCTCATTCACCCCTTCCTTTTGGCCCATTAAAAATTTCCACTGACTAAAAGTAAAGGGCAGGCCACCTTCAGAAACAGGAGTTCCCCACATTATTAGGGATCTCATGGACTCCGGAAAGTATGTGCCTCTAAGTTTCTGCCTCTAGGTTTCTGCACTATATGCAAATGTTTTTTTTTTTTAATGTAAAGTAATCTTCAGGGTCCTTCTGGTCTTTCATGCCAGTTTCCCCTTCTAAATCTCTTCGTAGGGCCCTGTCTCCCCATAGCACTCCAAGTAGGATTTGTGCTGCAAAACAAAGTCTAGTCCATTTCACACAAAATACATAAAATTTACTTACTTATGAATTGAATATAGGTGTCGGCTTAAGTTATCACATATCAGAACATCATAATTCTGTATGGTAGGTTCCATAGAGGGTCCTGAACACTAGAGGGGGAACATGCATAGTAAAATAAGAACAAAGGAAAACTCAACAGCATATAAAAAAAAAAAATTATACACACACACACACACATATATATATATATATATACACACACACACACACACATATATATATATGTATATACACACACACACACACACACACACACACACACACACACAGTGTATATATATATATATATATATATATATATATATATATATATATATATATATATATATTATATATAATATACATACATACATACATACATACACACACACACACACATATATATAAACACACACATACACATATATACATATACACACACACACATATATATATAATATAAATATATATATATATATACAGTCATGGCCGAAATTGTTGGCACCCCTTGATATTTCTCCAGGAAATCATGTATTTCTCACGAAACGTATTGCATTAACACATGTTTTGCTATATGTTTATTCCCTTTGTGTGTATTGGGACAAAACAAAAAAAGGGAGGAAAGAAAGCAAATTCGACATAATGTCACACAAACCTCCAAAAATGGGCTGGACAAAAGTATTGCACCCTTTCACAACTGCGGATAAATAAGAATGTTACAAGCATGTGATGCTCCTGTAAACTCACCTGGGGCAAGTAACAGGTGTGGGCAATATAGAAATCACACCTGAAAGCAGATAAAAAGGAGAGACGTTCACTTAACCTTTGCATTGTGTGTCTGTCTGTGCCACACTAAGCATGGACAACAGAAAGAGGAGACGAGAACTGTCTGAGGACCTGAGAACCAAAATTGTGGCAAAATATCAACAATCTCAAGGTTACAAGTCCATCCTCCAGAGAACTAGATTTGCCTTTGTCCACAGTGCGCAACATTATCAAGAAGTTTGCAACCCATGGCACTGTAGCTAATCTCCCTGGTCGTGGACGGATGAGGAAAATTGATGAAAGATTGCAACGCAGAATAGTCCGGATGGTGGATAAGCAGCCCCAAACATGTTCCAAAGACATTCAAGCTGTCCTGCAGGCTCAGGGAGCATCAGTGTCAGCGCGAACTATCCGTCGACATTTAAATGAAATGAAACGCTATGGCAGGAGACCCAGGAGGACCCCACTGCTGACACAGAGACATAAAAAAGCAAGACTACAGTTTGCCAAAATGTACTTGAGTAAGCCAAAAGCCCTTCTGGGGAAAACGTCTTGTGGACAGATGAGACCAAGATAGAGCTTTTCGGTAAAGCACATCATTCTACTGTTTTATACCGAAAACGGAATGAGGCCTACAAAGAACAAAACACAGTACCTACGGTAAAATATGGTGGAGTTCAATGATGTTTTGGGGTTGTTTTGCTGCCTCTGGCACTGGGTGCCTTGACTGTGTGCAAGGCATCATGAAATCTGAGGATTACCAAAGGATTTTGGGTCGCACTGTAGGGCCCAGTGTCAGAAAGCTGGGTTTGCGTCCAAGATCCTGGGTCTTCCAGCAGGACAATGACCCCAAACATACGTCAAAAAGCACTCAGAAATGGATGGCAAAGAAGCGCTGGAGAGTTCTGAAGTGGCCAGCAATGAGCCCAGATCTAAATCCCATTGAACACCTGTGGAGAGATCTTAAAATTGCTGTTGGGAAAAGGTGTCCTTCCCAATAAGAGAGACCTGGAGCTGTTTGCAAAGGAAGAGTGGTCCAAAATTCCGGGTGAGAGGTGTCAGAAGCTTATTGATGGTTATAGGAAGCGACTGATTTCAGTTATGTTTTCCAAAGGGTGTGCAACCAAATATTAAGTTAAGGGTGCCAATACTTTTGTCCAGCCCATTTTTGGGGTTTTGTGTGACATTATGTCATATTTGCTTTTCTGCCTCTGTTTTTATATTTGTTCCAATACATACAAGGGAATAAACATGTGTATAGCAAAACATGTGTTAATGCAATACCTTTTTTGTGTGAAATACTTGATTTTCAGGAAAAATATCAAGGGTGCCAACAATTTCGGCCATGACTGTATATATATATATATATACACATACATACACACTCAACACTGAAGAAATTACACTTTGCTACAATGTAAAAAAAATGAGTGTACAGCTTGTATAACAGTGTAAAAATTTTTTTTTGCTGTCTCTTCAAAATAACTTAAGAGACAGCCATTAATGTCTAAACCACTGGCAACAAAAGTGCGTACAACCCTAAGTGAAAATGTCCAAATTGGGCCCAATTAGCCATTTTCCCTCCCCGGTGTCATGTGACTCGTTAGTGTTACAAAGTCTCAGGTGTGAATGGGGAGCAAGTCTGTTAAAGTTGGTGTTATCGCTCTCACACTGGTCACAGGAAGTTCAACATGGCACCTCATGGCAAAGAACTCTCTGAGGATCTGAAAAAAAAGAATAGTTGCTCTACATAAAGATGGTCTAAGTAAAGCTATAAGAAGATTGTCAAGACCCTGAAACTGAGCTGCAGCGCGGTGGCCAAGACCATAGAGCGGTTTTAACGGGACAGGTTCCACTCAGAACAGGCCTCGCCATGGTTAACCACAGAAGTTGAGTGCATGTGCTCAGCGTCATATCCAGAGGTTGTCTTTGGGAATTAGACATATGAGTGTGGCCAGCATTGCTGCAGAGGTTGAAGGGGTGGGGGGTCAGCCTGTCAGTACTTGGACCATATGCCGCACACTGCATCAAACTGGTCTGCATGGCTGTTGTCCCAGAAGGAAGCCTTTTCTAAAGATGATGCACAAGAAAACCTGCAAACAGTTTGCTGAAGACAAGCAGATTAAGGACATGGATTATTGGAACCATGTCCTGTGGTCTGATGACACCAAGATAAACGTATTTGGCTTGGATGGTCTTAAGCGTGTGTGGCGGCAACCAGGTGAGGAGTACAAAGACAAGTGTGTTTTGCGTACAGTCAAGCATGGTGGTGAAGTGTCATGGTCTGGGGCTGTATGAGTGCTGCTGGCACTGGGAAGCTACAGTTCATTGAGGGAAACCATGAATACCAACATGTACTGTGACATACTGAAGCAGAGCATGATCCCCTCCCTTCGGAGACTGGGCCGCAGGGCAGTATTCCAACATAAAGACCCCAAACACACCTCCAAGACAACCACTGCCTTGCTAAAGAAGCTGAGGGTAAAGGTGATGGACTGGCCAAGCATGTCTCCAGACCTCTATTGAGCATCTGTGGGGCATCCTCAAATGGAAGATGGAGGAGCTCAAGGTCTCCAACATCCACCAGCTCTCTGATGTCATCATGGAGGAGTGGAAGAGGACATTAATGGCTGTGTGTTGAGTTATTTTGAGGGGACAGCAAATTTACACTGTTATACAAGCTGTACACTCACTACTTTACATTGTAGCAAAGTGTCATTTCTTCAGTGTTGTCACAAGAAAAGATATAACAAAATATTTACAAAAATGTTAGGGGTGTACTCACTTCTGTGAGATATTGTACAATATATATACATATACACACACACACACACACACACACACACACACACACAAAGATATAAAAAGTCTACACACCCGTTAAAATGTTAGGTTTCTGTGATGTAAAAAAATAAGACAAACATAAATCATTTTAGAACTTTTTCCACCTTTAATGTAGCCTATAAACTGTACAACTCAGTTGAACAACAAACTGAAATCTTTTAGATGGAGGGAAGTAAAAATAAAAAACTAAAATAATATGGTTGCATAAGTGTGCACACCCTTAAACTATACCTTTTGATTTTATAACAGCACTCAGTCTTTTTAGGTACGAGTCTATCAGCATGGCACATCTTGACTGTTCATCTTCATGTTCAGCTTCTAGCAGAAACCTGAAGGTTTTGTGCCAATATTGACTGGTATTTGGAACTGTTCATAATTTCCTCTACCTTGACTAAGGCCCCAGTTCCAGCTGATGTGCAGTGTTGTTTCTGCACCAAACATATCTTTTGGAATTATGGCCAAAAAGTTCAACCTTGGTTTCATCAGACCAGAACACATTTTCCCACATCATTTTGGGAGACTTCAGAGGTGTTCTTATAACATACTCAGTTATAAGAGGGTGTGCACACTTATGCAACCACATTATTTTAGTTTTTTTATGTTTACTCTCCCCCCCCCCAAAAGGATTTCAGTTTGTTTTTCAATTATGTTGTACAGTTTATAGGTCACATTAAAAAGTTCGAAGAAGTTCTGAAATTATTTATCTTTGTCAAATTTTTTTACATCACAGAAACCTGACATTTAACAGGGGTGTGTTCAAAGAGTTCCTTTAATTCTTTTGAGCAGCATATTTATTAGTCAAAAATTTTAAAAAACCATTTATCATTTTCCTCACACTTCACAATTATGTACCACTTTGTGTTGGTCTATCACATATAATCCCAATAAAATACATTTATGTTTTTGGTTGTGACATGACAAAATGCAGAAAATGTCAAGGGATATAAATACTTTTTCAAGGCATTATACATACACTTTTGAAGTTCATTAATCTATGAATCTTTGAAGATCTTTTTACTTTAACCACTTCCCGTCCAGCCCATGTACATAAACGGCCAAATGGGAGCAGTGCAGGAGTGGGTGGCCATTTATAAACGTCCTCCTGCTTCCCTGCCTGTGCACACCCTGGGAGTGCGCTGCACCGCGATCCGGTGCCCGCAGTGTCCTCCGGACACTGTGTGAGGTCCCGATCACATGAATAGTAGTAAGCAAGATGTCACTTGACTTGAATGATCACAGAGGTCACATGGTACAAGGCTATCCAATCACTGTGACCAATCACAGCTTGCACAGTATTTCTCAATGGCTGCAAGAAAGCAGCCAGAGAGAAGGAGAAATTATTGCTTTTACAGCCTTTATGGGTGACTATGGTGACACTGTACTGATAGAGTGACAGTACATTAAAAAAAAAAAAAAAAAACAAATACAAAAAAATAAAAATGTTTGGAAAAATTATAATTTTTGGTTATAAACGAATTTGGTTTTTTTTTTTTTTACTAAAAAGATAGCTGAATACACATTTTGGTCAAGATTTACAGTATGAAGAAAGATTATTTGCAAAATTTTATATGAACACTTTTTTTTTTTCAAAATGTTTGGACTTTTTCATTTATATAGCAAAAAAATAAAAATCTCAGTGGTGAATAAATACAAACCAAAACAAAGTTTTATCTGTCTCAAATAAATGCTAAAAAATTCATATGGGTACAGTGTTGCATGACCGCGCAATTGTCACTCAAAGTGTGACAGGACTGAAAGCTCAAAATTGGCCTGAACAGGAAGGGGGTGAAAGTGTCCAGACTGGAAGTGGTTAAATAAACTGCATGCCTGCGCCAATATAATGAATTAAAAACGGCTTGCTCATGTCACTGAGTTATACAGAATCTGAAACCCGCCCTGGTGCAAAAATAAAAGATGAAATACTTACTATGACAACTTCTCCAATATATTCAAACGTACAGTGGGCTATACAGCCATACTGGATGGCATACCCTAGTAAGCCCAACGTCTTCCCAGCAACTCTTCTAAACATACTCATAGTAGTTCTACCAGAGGGGTCCTGAACTGCCCACCTGTTTAGGAAACAGCAAAAAATGTATTTTACAGTGGAACAAACTCATTAAACCTTTTTTTCCAGCCCCATTTTGGAAAGAGTAAAATGGAGGGTTATAACCCTAAAGTTTATTTTTGTGGCCAGCTGTGTTTCATTGGGTAGATTTTCCCCTACTCTCTGTCCCATGTGCATTTATTATTTTTTGTTGGGAAGAGCCTGTAAAACATTGCACCAGTGATCAGCAGATTGCTGGTGCCATGCAGGTATCCTGTCAGTATAGCTGGTTGCCTGAACAGGGTGTACGGGGAAGAAGATATACTGACAGGAAGATTAAATAAAGTAGAAGCCGACAATCGCTAAGGCTGACAGGACTTGTTCATTCATTCACAGAACACGGTGAATGAATTACATGACTGTGTGGCTGCAAAGTTTTTAAAAAATGACAGCTAGTACAGGGAACTTTGGAGAGCTGTCATGAAGGGGGGCGTTAAAAAAAAAAAAAATTTGGGCAGTGGCTGTGCAGCATTGGGAACAGGTTACGTGCTCCACCTTAAAAATGGGTGGAACATGCGACATATTCCTAAAGGTGAACTTATCCTTTAATGGAGGGTTCCTGCTGTCTGGGAGTAGTCCAATTGTATGTGCATGCATGTCCAAATAAACCAGCTTTAAAAAGGTTTATGCAGACAGATTTAGCTATTGGTAAGTTTCAATATGATAAACCAAGTGAAACATTTAATAACCACTTCAACTACTGTGTGGGCTGTAGAGAGTAGGACTTGACTGTACAGTCTGACGAAACGTATAATTAAGGACTGACTGAACAGAATTACACATTTTTGGCATACAAGATATTGACATACACACCACAGAACACAAGAAGAAGAAAAAAAAAATCACTTTCTGGAGGAACTGGTTTTGAATGACTACTTTAGGTTTAAATGAATTACATTTGTCAGGGTAATCACCTTATAATCGCAGACATCATATACAGAACAACATACACCAGATCAGGGGCGGACTGACCATTGGGGAACGCGGGCACTGCCCGAGGGCCCAAGGTCAGTAGGGGGCCCCATGGTCCCTGGTACCTTTCATAGCCTTTTTTGGGTGTGGTTTGAGTGTGGGCGAGGACACAGGGGCCCCTATTGCCCAGGTGCCCAATGAGTTGTCAGTCCGCCCCTGCACCAGATATAAAACGTGTATCTCTATTGTGTCATATACAAGTCATTTTCTGCTGCAGAGGGCAGTATTAGCTTCTGATACAAAGGGTGTATTTACTTTTTCCAAAGTACACGTTTACATTTATTGATATTTTTGCCAAATATATCACTTTTATCTGTGATCATTTCAGGTTAGTTGTGGCACACATTACATAAATTCAAAAGCTATAAAATTAAATACATACGTAAGGTTTATTTAACCACTTCCAGCCCTGGCCAATTCTGGCATTTCTCTTCTCCACGTAAAAATATTTTTTTTTTTGCTAGAAAATTACTCAGAACCCCCCAAACTTTATATTTTTTTTTTTTTTTGTAGCGGAGACCTTAGAGAATACAATGGCGGTAGTTGCAATTCGTTATGCAACACAGTATTTGTGCAGCAATTTTCAAATGCAATTTTTTTGGCAAAAAAAAATAGATGTTACGCCGAGTAAATAGATACCAAACATGTCATGCTTTAAAATTGCGCACAGTTGTAGAGTGGCGCCAAACTATGGTAATTAAAAATCTCCATAGGCGACGTTTTACTATTTTTTTACAGGATACCAGTTTAGAGTTGCAAATTAGGTCTGTCACTGTAAGGTTTGGGGTGATACCTCACAAGTGTGGTGTGAACGCTGTTTACATAAGCAGGCGTGATCTATGTATGCATTCAGTTCTGCGTGCGCGAGCGCAAAGGGACAGGGACGCTTTACATTTTTTTTTATCTTTACACCATCCCCTTTTTTTTTTTTTAAATCACTTTTATTCCTATTACAAGAAATGTAAAACATCTCTGGTAATAGGAATAAAGCGTGACAGGTACTCTTTATGGAGATATCTGGGGTCAATAAGACCCCAGATATCTACTCTATCCTGGAAATCATGAGATCAAAAAGTGGAAAAAAATGGCAGTGTTTACATCTGCCAGAGCCAGGAAGTGACAACATGACGACGCTTCCCGGCCTTCCCAGGATCAGAGATGGCTGGGAACCAGCTCTATGGTAACCCAGTGCCATTGCCGGATCGTATCCCGGGCTCCTTGATCACATGGTGAGCATGGAGTCGCGAAAAAGTGGTGTAGCGTCGTCCCCTCCCGCTGCCTGTAAAAGCAGTTCAGTGGGATAATCAGCCACAAGGATGGCTTTTACATGAGAGGGAATCGCCAACTGAAAAGATAGATATCTGGATGATGCCTGTAGCTGCATCATCCAGACCTCTCTACTTCAAGTTCAGGACATCATATGATGTCCTACGGGCAGGAAGTGGTTAAAGTTGAAGTCTTGAATTAAAGGATAAGTTCACCTTTTGTAACATGTTAAATATTACACCCATATTCAGGTAACATGTAACGTTTAGACTGGCCCCGCTTTGACAGATATCGGCTAAGCAGCTGTCAGCTTGTAGTCCTCAATGAACTACCACGGCGCCGTGGAGTGCCGTGGTAGTTCATTCATTCTTCCTGTCAATATATCTGCTTGCTCATACATCCCGTACGGGCAAACAGATTTCCTGACAGATCTGCAGGAGACCTGCATGGCACCAGCAATCTGCTGATCATTGGTGCAATGATTTACAGGCTCCTGCAGACAAAGACAATAAATCCAGATTTATTTACCTGCAAAAAAAAAAATTTAAATGTATTATTTTCTTACTAAAATGGTGAACTTATCCTTTAAAGCTGCAGGAAAGTAAAAATCCTCCCCTGTAGGGGGGCTGACCTCACACTGCAAAAGTTAAATGCTTGTTTACATCTAGAGGACCTGGAAAAAGCAGTTTTACTTAGCTAATCCTCCACGCTGCAAGACCAGTACCTGTAGCTTCTTTTTGCCTATGCCCTGCCAGTCAACTCCTTCTGACACCAACACCAATGCAGGACTCATAGCCCTGCAATTGATGTGAAAGATGCAGGGAACATTCTCCTGTTGGAGCATGGGTGGTAAGCTACTTTAACTGTCCCCTAGATCTAAAAATTAGCATTTAACCCTTACAGTGAGGGCAGCCCCATTTCAAGGGAGAATTTGTACTTTTCCTGTAGATGGATTTTAAAGATTTTTTTTTTTGTTACCGGTTTGTCTCCTAACGGACAAAGGACAGGTAACTTTTGGTCCGTGTTGCTAGTTGCTTTCGAAGTCTAGTTATGAGGTCTGACCTAACCCCCCTTCCCCCACAGCTGATCTGAGAACAGAAAGGAGACAGCTGATTCATAAGTGCAGCTTGTCTCACCTTTGAGCTCTTTCCACAGACAAGCAAGGGCAAGAGGAATGCAGAGGCTGACACATCCCATCCCTCTGCATTCTTGGAATCCTGGATCCCTACTGGTATTTACAGTGGGAACAGTGTGAGGCCCTGCCACTGTGTGAGATTAGGAAAGTGATGAAAAGATGAGACAGGATTCTAAAAAGTTTCAGTTTGACAAGCTCCAGCATGTGTTTTACAAGCGGAGAAAGCCATGTTGCAAATTTTCCCTGTGTTAGGCAGTCCTGGATTGGGGCCTGGAGATGAACATTCTGAAGGGTTTTGTGTGGGGTAGGGTCTTCAGTCCTGTATCTGGGCTTTGCTAGATGCCTGCAGGTGTGCAGGGTCCATTATAAGACATACCTTAGAATAGCTCAGATCAGTTTCAGTTGTTGCCATTCAGACACACAGCCTGTGTGTGAAAATAGTGGTGTGCTTAAGCCAGGAGGGATGACTTGCTCGGGGGACGAGACGCCATGTTCGGGGGGGGGGGGGTGTTGAGGGACTTCTTGCCCAAAGGAGTCAGGACAGCTACGCAGGTCTGGGGATATTGGAAAAACTGAGGTGACCTAAGAGTCAGGGGGCTGGAGGAGGTCCAAGTACCCGAGGAGTGTGAGAGAACCCAAGGTCCTGGCCAAACCCTATCAGGAGGCCAGAAGTGGGCCATAAAGCAAGGTGCTGCAACCAAGGCCGAAAGAGCCAGAAGAGCCCCTGGTCTGGGAGACCAAAGAACAGTGGTGCTGCTGACAAAGGAGCCAGGCGGCTTTTCAGTTGTGTGCTTTGTGAAGTTGAAACCCCTGCATGAGGAACTTTAATCAAAACTGGGCTGCCATGCCCTTAAATACAGTTTTGACTGGCATGGACCCACTTTAAAAAATGGTCATCTGCTCTTAGCTAACAATCTTTCATTCTGTGTCTTGGAAAAAACTTAAACAGATTTAAAAAAAATAAACAAAAACAAGGAAGATATATTTATGAATAGAGAGCTACACGGGTTTGTGTCTTTTGTATCTGTCTAAATTCAGCTTTAAATAAGCTCAAAATATTTATAAAATCCAGTAGACAATGACAGGAAGAATGTATTCTGTATACACGAACAGATAATAGCAAGCAGCGGTGTAGAACTTAAAAAGACAATTTACAACCTGCATCTAGCAGTATGCAGCGGGAAGTTAAACAAGTTCTAGCATTCCATGCCGCGGGCCCAGACATGGACCATATTCTCTTATGAATATTTTGTGCCCTGTGTCACATGATTTTCTTTATTACGTTTATAAAAATTAATCACAGTACGTGGGGGGCAGCCGCTGCTCCAAGGCTTGTGAATGGCATCCAGGAGATGGGAAAGGATTATTTAGCCGTTACTGCCAGTTAAAGCGCTAGGTGAGTGTTTTTTTTTCCTCCCCCCTGCGCTGAAGGTGTTACAGATAATCCCATTACACCCGTAGTAAATCTTACAGACATCAAAATTATCAGCGACGTTCCTTTTCATCCCATCCCTTCCGAATGACTGGAAGGAGCTTCACCTAAATGAAGTCAAATCCG